TTTTTTTTTTTTTTTTTTTTTTTTTGGTATTGGAGTTTGAACTCAGAATCTTGCACTTTCGAGGCAGGTACGGTGCCACTGAGCTAAATCCTGGCCCTCCAATGTTGATCAGAAGTGGAGAGAATACACACCTTAGCCTCGTTTCTGATCTTAGGGGAAAACATTCAGTATTTTACACCATCAGTGTGATGTTATCTGGTGGTAGCAGCAATCCCCTTTGAATCCTAGTGTAGGAAACAAGGTCTTTTTTTGTCAAGGGATATAAACAGGAGCACCTCCATCTTAAACTCTAGTTCGCCCTAGGCTGCCCCTGCCCCTTACACCAGAGTTATGGAAAGATTACAGCTTAGATTCTGGGAACACAGCTGACCACCAAAGGTAACTTACCAACAGCCAAGGACTTTGAGTCCCCATACACCCTCTCTCCCCTCCCTTGACAACCCTGCGCAGCAATCCTCTGGGCCCTCCCCTCATGCTGTTTAACCTAGCCAGCTGGGACAAACAGCGAACCTTCAAATTCTCCTGCCTTAGGGATAGAAGGGCCAACCCTCCTTTGTCCGCAAACCTGCTACCACAAGCTGGAGCACAATTGCAACCTTCTACAGAAGTGAAAACCCTTGTTGAGATTCCTCGGTGTCTGAGTGCTTTAGTATCTTATACTTTCAAATTGAGTCTGGGGATGTATTCCCAACACTAGTTTGTTGAATGTTATCAGAACTGGGTTTTAAGTTTTGTTAAATGCTCTTTCTGGGTCTATTGTTAATAATTTTAGTTTGTTAATAATTTAGTTTTTTTAACCTTGATTTTCAAATGTTAAACCAACTTTGTTTTGTGCTCCTGGAGTAAAGTCCATTTGGTCATGATGTCCCTTTCCAATATGTTATTAGTTTCCACTTGCTGTTAGGAACTTGTGTGTCTTAGGCTGGGGGAGTTGTTCAGTGCTAGTGCCCTGGTATAGCATGCATGGGGTCCTTTTTATCCCCAGCACTGAAGAAAAAAACTCTTTTTTTGGTTTATGTTCATAAGAGACAGATTTACAGGGCTTGTTGTAATGTCTTTTTTCTGGTTTTGGTACCAGAGTAATGTCGATTTCATATAATAAACTGGGAATTGTTATCTCATTTTCAATTTTCTGGAAGAATTTGTGTAGAATTACTATCAATGCTTGCTTAAATGTTTGACAGAATTCACCAGTAAAGCTATCCAGGCTTGGAGTTTTCTCTATGAGGTTTTCAACCATAAATCTAATTTCTTTAATAGATTCAGAGCCAATAAGGTTTTATATTTCTTCTTGAGTGAGGTTTGACACTGCATTATTCAAGAAATTTCTAAATTTTGCCAAAGTTGTTGAATGTATTGATAAAATAGTATTTGTTATTGCTCTGGTGTCTGTAGAATCTGTACTGATGCTTCCTGTCTTGTTCCCTATATTGTTAGTGAGTATCTTTTCTTTCTGTTCTGATCTCTGTGGCTGGAGATTTATAAATTTTATTGATCTTCTCAAAGAAGTATCTTTAGGTTTTTTTCTATTTCTCTGATTTATTATTTTCTTTCTACTGTTTCCTGTAGGTTGAGTTAGCTCATTTTTCTTTTTCTTGTTTGTTAAAGGAGAAGCCGAGGCATTTGATTTGAGAGTTTTTCTTTTTCTAACATAGGCATTTAATGATATAAATTTTCTTCTAATCACTGCTCTAGCCTCATCTCAGATTTTAATGTCATTCTTTCATTTTAACTCAGTTCAACATATTTCCTCTGTGATTTCTTTTCTGACTGATGAGTTATTTAGAACTTCATTGTCTAGTTGGAAGAGGTTTACTGGATATCTTTTTGTTACTGATTTCTAATTCAATTCCATGATTGCTCAAGCACATTCTTCATATGATTTGAATCCTTCAGAATTTATTATATGTCAAAGAAACCTGGGGACCCACAACTGGACTCAGCCCCTCATGGGGGAGAAGAGTGATCTTTATTATGAGTCCTGGAAGGTTTTACGCAGAGAGGGGATTTGGCTTGAATTACATTTCTAATTGTGTAGAGGACAGTGTGGGTGTCAGGAATGAATCTGGGCACCATACCTGATGATAGCATGGACAAAGGTGGAAACCATAGCAAAGGAGAATAGACGTATTTCAGAGCTATGTGGAGGAAACTTAATCTGGTAGACTTTGGATGTGAGAGAGGTCCCTTCAGTAAGGAGGGAGTGAAAGGCAGTTTGTGTTATCCTTATCAAAGTGGGGCTCCACTCCCTGCCCAGATACCCTCCCACAAGAGCCAGGGGTCATCCACCTCCTGGTGGCTCTCTGCTCTGAGGGCAGCCCCCGTGTGGCGCTGCAGAGTGTTGTCCTCCCTGAGCTATGAATATATGTGACAAACCACTGTCAGTGTCACCTATCCAGTGCTGGGCTGCATGTGTGGCCATCCTTGGAGCCCAGGGCAGGAAGGCCTCCCTCATTGAGGGTCACCCTCAATAGGTGATTAAAAGAGCTCCTCGGAGAGGACTCAGCCTCTGTATGGCAGGCGGCTGGGCGAAAGAGGCTGGGCTGGATTACAGACGCCTCACATCTCCGAGCTGGGTGCCTTGGGTCAGGCACAACCTAGACACCTGTACCTGAGCACTCTGGTATCAGCTTCATTTATTGAACTGCAGCCTGTGCCAAGACTGGTGAGCCCAGAGAGCCATCCAGGAGTACTCCCTAGTTTACAGTGCGGGCTCTGTAAGCAAGGGAGGTGAGACTGGAACCCCCAGTGGCTGAGTGCAGGCGTGAGATGTGACCCTGGCAGGGAGAGGACCTGTTTTGTGGTGAAACTGATCGAGGCAGCCAGGTCAGTTGTGGCCACCTGCACAGGCTCCTGTAGGGCGGAGGCAAGTCGGAGAGCGTGACCAGGCATGGGAGAACAGGAATGAGCGCCTGGAGCCACTTTGAAGAGGCAGTTCTACCACCTGCACTGTCCCACCAGCAGCCCTGGGGCTGCCCACTTTTTTGGAACCCTCAGTTTGCAGATTGGAGATTCTTTCTCAGGTGTTTTTTTGCTTTTTGTTTTTTTACCAAAGGTGCTCCGTGCAGGCAGAACTAGAGCCAGGTGCTTTCCATAATGACTGCCTCTCGCTGGTGGCCTCTAGTTGCATCCGACCTCCTAGGAAAATCCAAAGAGACACATGACGGAAGGGCTGCCTTCTTGGAGGGCAGAGCTGGCATCAGGTCTCACAGGAACGGGAGCTCTATGGTATTAGGGTTTTGTTCTCCTTGGATACCCAGAGCCTAGGACAGTGGCTGATGCGTAGTAGGGACAGACAAAAATAAATTAAATGAAAGAAGATAACACCAGCTTCCCCACCACCACCACTCGGCTGCCCTTAGGCAAGTTACTAACCTTTCTGCATCTCAAATCCCTTTCCAGTGAAATCAGACAATCACAGCGCCTTGTGGGGTTGTTACAGTGCTGTGATAAGCCTTCCTGTGACAATGGGAAGGGCTCATTGAGCACCAAATGTTGTCACCACAATCATGACCTTAGTTCCTGCTCAGCTGGAGGCATCCGTAGGCATAGGGATGCTCCACAGCCTTCATCTACTCATCTACGTTAGCCTGAGAACAACTTGAGGAGTAGGTGGGCGGTTTTTGTTTTTTCTTTTTCTTTTAACACCCACTTCACATCTGGGGAGCTAACGCATGCAGGAGAGATCCTGGCTAGGCTATGAAGTTGGGGAGTTTTCCCTCCGTTCTGTTCTTTCAAAGCAGGCAGAGATGGCAGGTGTGTGTCCCTGGGGCTTTGGTGCCTTGGATAGCCGGGGCCTGGGGTTCTGGGAACACTCCCAGGGCAGCGGAGGCTGTCTGTCTTCTAGGTCACTTTTGGTGAGTGAGGTTATATAACTTGCTCAAGAAAGTGGTGGCTGAGCTGCAGCCCCAGCCATGACATTTCCTACCTAAGGCACAATTGCTTTCTATCAGGGAGTAGTCATTCCATCTCTCCAAGCCTCAGTTTCTCCCCCCGGAAATGGTAGCAGGGATGGTGCCTTTCCGGCAGGGTTGTAAAGATGAGATGGATTGGGGCTCAGCAGCCTCCACACCGCTCTTGAGCCCGGGAGCCAAGCCCGTGTCACCCACTCACCCGCCCTGCAGGTCCCAGAGGGTGTCCGGAAGTGGAAGATCCTGGGTCTCAGGGAGGAAGAGCAGGAGAACCAGGCTGGAAGCCACAGGGATGATACCGTAGGACAGTGGAGGCAGCAAGGGCAGGGCCTGGCGGGCCATCCGTATCAGGGGGCCCATCATCGCCCCCAGGCGGCCGACCGACTGCAGCAAGCCTTCTGCTGTCATCCTGTGGGGAAGGGCCGGAGTGCGGCTGCCGTCAGTGGGGCCAGGGGAGGGAGAGCTGCTTGGCGTTGCCCTCTCAAGGCCTCTTCCTTGGAGCCTGCCTGAGTTTTCCCTTCTGGGCTTCGGGGGAATTCTTGAGAGTCCCTGTGTGTCCCTGCCTCAGTGTCACTGGGCCCCAGGCTCCCTAGGAGAGCACAAAACCAGTAAATGTCATCAGAAAATGTGCCGGAAAGCATAGCTAAGTGAGGGAGGGAGCCTGTACTGGGCAGGAGGAAAAAGCTGGGCTAAAGTTGGTGGTGGGAGCCCAGGCCACCCTCCATCGAGTAGTCCCTCATCCTGAGCCTCAGTTTACCCCACTGTTAATTGTGGGGCAGGCACATACTCCTTTAGGTTCTGAGGAGGTGAGGTGACCAGAGGCTTTCTCAGGGCAGGGAGGGGGCAGTGGCCTCCTGACCACATTCACCTGGGCAGCTTTTAGTCTCCTCACCAGGGTTCTTATTTATTTATATATTACACATTATTTTTTGTACTACTGGATACTACACCCAGATCCTTTGCACTAAACTATAACCCTAGCTCTTTTTATTTATTTATTTATTTATTTATTCTTCTTGAGATAAAGACTTGCTAAATAGTCCAGGCTTGGCTTGAACTTGGCAATCCTCCTGCCTCAGCCTCCCAGAGGGCTAGGATTGTAGGCGTGTGCCATCATGCCCAGCAACCAGTGTTCTTCTAAGATTCCGCCTGAACAGAAAGAATTTCAGAGTACACAAGGGGACACACAGAAGTCTCCTGCACCCCATGCCAGGATGCCCTAGAGACTGCCTGCAACCCGGCCTCCTGAAACTAAACCTTCCTTGGGAGGGCTGGTCTGGATCTCCTGCCCAGCCTAACTATGGATCCCTGCACCCGCCTCCCCACTGGCCCTCCCAGAGGCCTGGCAGCCTTTTCAGAGCCCAGCCCGGCCTACCGCAGTGGAGTGGGGAAGAGCTCTGTCCTGTAGATGCTGAGGCAGGTCAGGCTGATTCCGAAGCATCCTTTCCCCAGCACAGCAAGAGCCACGCGCCAGCTCTGCAGATCTGGGCAGAGGAAAACTTGAGTGTGGTCCACCCAAGGGGGGCCTGAGGGGCAGCCAGCCTGGTGCAGTGAGGCTGGGCTCTCCCGCTGGCTGCTGGCTGGGCTGCTGTGGAGCCAGGCTACACACCGCTCACATTTGGATCGGAGCAGTGGTCTGTGGGGCCCTCGACCACTCTCCTCCACCCTGCTCAGCCCCTCCTCTTGGCTTTGCTGCCACTGCAGGCTGCCTGTCCCTGTCCCTTGCCCCCAGTCTCCAGCCCAGAATGATAAAAGGAGGCCTGAAGAGGATTTCAGGGCAAGGAAAAAGGTGAGACAGGGCCTTTAAAGCCTCCCCAGCTCTCGGGACACCAGCGACTTGCTGCAGTAACTGAGGAAAAAAATGCATGTGCGTGTGTGTGCACACACAGATGTGCATAAGCACACACACAGATGTGTGCATGCATGTGTGCGCACACACACTCACACACACACACACACACACACACACACACACACTCTGCTTGGTTCCCTCTTGGCCTCAGTTTGAACAGCCAACCTTCCACACTTCCTGTCCCCTCAGGTTCAAGTCCTGGTCTGTTCCTCGTCAGATGGGTGACACTGGACATTTGCTTCACCTCTCTGAACCTCAGGAAAAGGGGTTGGGTGTGGCCATGGGGGAGGGGAGTGGATTGGAAGGGAGGCTCTGACAGACACAGAGTGGGCAGAGCTGGCCCACGGGGGCTGTGGCTGCAGAAACGCACCTCCTGGGGTAGGGTGGGAAGGAGGCCTGGAGCAGAACGGGCAGCAGGCCCAGGCCCTACTTCACCTTGAGGCATCAGCCCATTGGCCAGGATGCAGAAGCCAGCCAGGGACAGGGAGCCAGCCTGGGTCATGCGGCGGCCGAAGAATCTGAATAAGAGGACAGTGGTGGCCCGGCCCAGGAAGTCCATGGCCCCGAAGAGGGACTGCAGGAGGAAGATGTCCCTGCCCAGGCTCTGCAGGTCCAGGACCAGCCCATAGTAGGACAGTTGCACGGAGAAGCTGTGGGACAGAGCCAGAAGTCAGTCCTGTACAGAGGAGAGGGACCCCAGCCCACAGCAGCCTGCATGAGAGGACAGCCCCACACGGCTCGACACTGCCAGAGCTCTGTGGACACTGCAGAAAGCAGGACTCATCTCCCAGGTCAGGCTTGTCCAAGGAAAGGGCTGGGAACCAACAGCCTCATCTGTTCCAAATATGGGCCATGGGCAGGGTAATGGGCTGGTGTTGCTTCTTGGGCTGTGTAGTCACTGGTCAGCTGGTAGATGTGACCCCCTCTGGGCTGGCACCCAGGATGCCCTGGGGGCCTCTATGGGCCATGCTGAGCTGTCCCTTCAGTGCCACTCTGGTCCCTTGGCTTGGTTTTGGATGAGTCACACTCCCTCTGTACCTCTCCAGATGCCAGAGGAGGGGCAGGGCTTCTTCCTTCCCCAGATGTCTTATTCCCCAGCCTCTGGGAGCACTGCCTTACAGCTGGGGATAGCACTTCATAACAAGTCTGTAGGGACCAGAGCGATGCCCCTGAAGGCCACCCAGAACCTGAGCTCCACACCCTGCTTCCTGGCTCTGTCTGCAGCTAAGGTGGGCCATCCCATCCCCAAGCTCCTGAGTAGCTGAACTTACAATATCTGAACTTCTGCACTTTAGAGTTGGAATTCAGGTTTACAAATGACCCCATAGTAAATGATTCTCCACCATTTAAAAAATCTGCGTCCCCTCCCTGATTAACTAGTTGCTCAGCCCTTTGATGGCTCTTCCAGAGAGACACCCACATCTTGGGCGACCACTGCGGGACAGGAGAAGCAACCAAGCAGGCCCCACAGCCTTTCAAGAAGTTTACCCATGACCCTCAAGGGAGGCCAGGCTTGGCTGGGAGGATCTGGAGCCTTGGATGGTGGCAAGAACCCAGAGTTAGGGCTTCAAAGGCTCTGATTTGAATAATAAATGATGCCCAAAGGTACCTCTGGGAGAAACCATGAATCTGGGAAGTATTAGGTGGTGGTGGGATGTTGGTCTGCTTCTAATTTATCCAGAAAAATTAAGCTAAAAAAAGACTTTAAAAAGCATTTGATCTCTTTTTTTGTTCTGAGATGTAGGAAATATTTGCTATAATAACCTATCGTGGTTAAATATAGCATAAATAAACGTTTTCCTAAATCTTTAGCTTTGAGATGACGTTTTAGTCAAGTCTGATTCTCATTCTTAATATGTTGTCTTGCATGTCACTGCCACTGAATTCCAGGGGCTTTTTACTGGACCCAGGCCCCTGGGGACCCAGGCGGGTTTACCAATGGCCCGTGTCAGCCCTCCATTAGGACTGATGGGTGACACATCCATCATGGGACCAGCTCCTTACCTCGCTGGGTCCCCTCTGTGAAATGGGGTACTGTGCCTAGTGCACGTCAGCCTCCAGGGGCACAGCTGTTAGGATGAGTCTCCAAGTCTTCAGCTGTGTCAGTCCCCTGGCTTCAGTCTGACCCTGGTCCCCTGCAGAGGATGTCATCCCCATTCTGCTGCAGTGGCTTCCTGCGTATGCCATCCTCTGGACCCCGCCTGGCACATCCCTCTCCCCCACCTTGGGAGGCCTGAGGGTGCCACATTCTCTCATCACAGCCCCTCATGTCTCAGCCCTGTCTCCAGGAATGGCGACCAGGTCTGCATACTTCACCACCAGCAAGGTGCAGGTCCTCCTACGGAGTGCGGGCATGCGGATCAGATCCAGCACCGACGTGTGCACCCTTGCAGAGACTGCCTCCTCCTTCATGCTGGACATCAGCACCTCCAGGGAGAATGGGGACACAGCGAATGTTGGGACCACGGCCTCGCTCTGCCTTTCTGACAGGGAATGGTGTCAGGAGGGTAGAGTTACGGGTGGCCTAGCTTTGGCCTCTGGATGCCGGTGTCCCCAGTGCTGGGAGAGCCAGGGGGAAGAAGAATCTCTCTCTCTGGTCCCCTCACTCTTCTGCAGGCCTGGCCCATGAAGATGAGCCAAGGAGAGGCCTTTGTCCTGGCTCTGGTGCCCCGAGTGGCAGGCTACTCTTGGCAGGTGCTGCACAGTGCCCCAGCCTCCCTCCTCTGCCTTCGCGGCTGGAACCAGGGTGTGCCTGCTTGGGACACCCTGCTGCTCCCCAAGTGCTCTCGCACCTCTGAGCTCAGCTCAGGGCCATCGCTCTAGCTTGCCTCCTCCTGGAAGCCTTCCTCACCCTCCCACCTCCAAGGAGCTATGTCTTCTCGTCTCTGGCAGCACGTCCTCCATCTGACACCTGCTTCCTCAAAATAGCTACCTCCAGAGAAGCACGCTCTGTTTCCCCAAATACACTGAGAAGCAGTGTGTCTGAGAGGCAGGTGTGCAGGGCACGTGGGATGAGCGGTGGGCATCTGCGACTCAGGTGACAATAGGGGTATCGCCGTGATTGGTGAGAGTGGTGATGGAGGGGACAGTGATGGAGGGGTGGCGGAGGGC